ATCCAGGTTCTCAGGCTCAAAAGGAGGCTGCATCTTCCGCCTGATATAACAGTTTATGCATCTTATTTGCATAAACAAGGTCTGATGCTTTTATATAGACACTTTAGTGAGAAGAAGAATAAAAGAACAATCAAAACAGCTTTTTTCTCTGAACAGATGATGTATGATACTTTATGTCCAGCATTTGTTTTATTATGTTCAGTGCTGGAGACAGAAAGATAAATAATCCAAGGGAAGTGAATTTGTAGTCTCTCTGTATTTGTAATACAGTCTCTTGGAAATAATTGGAAAAAGTAAGACATTAGCATTTTTATCTCTGTAAAAGGACATAAGTGTGTTACTGTTTCTACATGCGCGCACACTTCATTTCTAAGTACCGTTTTTTGTACATACACTCATTGATCTGTTGCCTGCAATGTTGTTGTAGGCTATATTGGTCCCAGAATATTTAGAGACAAGGTGTTGCGGAAATATAATTTATTGGACCAACTTACGTTGGTGAAAGAGACAAGCTTTTTAGCTTACACGGCTCTTCTTCAGGTTTTGGACAGGTACAAAATGTCACAGTTAAATACAAGGGTGGAGCATATAAGGAATTAACACAAATTGCAAGAGACCATTCAAGATGAAGTGGACACAGGTCAAAGGAGAGTTAGTGAGTTATGGATTGTTGTAATGAGCCATAAATCCACTGTCTCTATAAAGTCCATGATTGTTGGTGACAAGCAGAGCTATGAATTAAAGCACTCAGGCTCGTCTTTTGGAGGTATTGTACAGGTTTCCTTTGTGGATGAGGACTAAGAGGTCAGATATGAAGTGATGATTTTATAAAAAGTGTTTGCCCACAGTTGATATGGTGTTATTGTCTTTTATCACTTTACTGTGAATCTATTTGATAGAATGGTGATTCTCATTTTACCCACGTACTTGATATTAGGGCATTTAATGGATGAGGTCCGTCATGTGTTGTAGTAGGCATGTGTAGGACCCATGGATCGTGAAAGGTGTATCGTAGGAGACATTGATCATCGTAGCCGTAGAGATATTTCTGTTCTGTTTAAACAAACCCCCAGCATCATCACTCATCATTAGAAGCAAGCTCCCCACGAGACCAGGACACACCAGCTCAGACCAGCACCACACTCTGCCCTACCAATCAATGCAATACCCGCAGATATATCTCCACTGCTATGGTGTTCAAAACCCCCACAACACGCTTTTCAAAATGCATGGGTCCTACTCATGCCTATAATAACATGTAGTGTACCTCGTCCAGTGCACTAAATGCCCCAGTAACTATAATGGATGAAACCAGCCAATCACTACACTCTTGAATGAACTCTCACAGGAAAATAAGACAAAAACACCCTTTCACTCAGGGTAAATACTTTTCACAAAATGTAACTGCATATCTGCTCTGTTGCTCTCCACCTGCAGTGTGTCCATTATCTCCTGCAGCAAATATATCTCTGTTCTCAATGGGGTAGGTTCTAAGCTACATCTTCTCAGAGGTTCAACACAATAGGGGTAGCCTAGGAAGAACGGGACAGAAGTGGTTTAATGCCACTTTTGTGCCATATGGGAGCTGTGGGCACTGAAACAGTTGCTGGCATAATTTAGAGCAGCCCCCAGGGCTTCCCCAAGGCTGCCTATGCAGCCCAGAAACCCTATAGCACCGAGCACAATAGGCACAACTCCTTTCTCCGGCCCTGCCCCAATGTCAGGGCATGTATGTGAGCCCTATGCCACTTTAGAATCATAGAATCATAGAATCATAGAAATCAGGGTTGGAAGGGACCCCAGAAGGTCATCTAGTCCAACCCCCTGCTCAAAGCAGGACCAATTCCCAGCTAAATCATCCCAGCCAGGGCTTTGTCAAGCCTGACCTTAAAAACCTCTAAGGAAGGAGATTCTACCACCTCCCTAGGTAACGCATTCCAGTGTTTCACCACCCTCTTAGTGAAAAAGTTTTTCCTAATATCCAATCTAAACCTCCCCCACTGCAACTTGAGACCATTACTCCTCGTTCTGTCATCTGCTACCATTGAGAACAGTCTAGAGCCATCCTCTTTGGAACCCCCTTTCAGGTAGTTGAAAGCAGCTATCAAATCCCCCCTCATTCTTCTCTTCTGCAGGCTAAACAATCCCAGCTCCCTCAGCCTCTCCTCATAACTCATGTGTTCCAGACCCCTAATCATTTTTGTTGCCCTTCGCTGGACTCTCTCCAATTTATCCACATCCTTCTTGAAGTGTGGGGCCCAAAACTGGACACAGTACTCCAGATGAGGCCTCACCAATGTCGAATAGAGGGGAACGATCACGTCCCTCGATCTGCTCGCTATGCCCCTACTTATACATCCCAAAATGCCATTGGCCTTCTTGGCAACAAGGGCACACTGCTGACTCATATCCAGCTTCTCGTCCACTGTCACCCCTAGGTCCTTTTCCGCAGAACTGCTGCCTAGCCATTCGGTCCCTAGTCTGTAGCTGTGCATTGGGTTCTTCCGTCCTAAGTGCAGGACCCTGCACTTATCCTTATTGAACCTCATCAGATTTCTTTTGGCCCAATCCTCCAATTTGTCTAGGTCCTTCTGTATCCTATCCCTCCCCTCCAGCGTATCTACCACTCCTCCCAGTTTAGTATCATCCGCAAATTTGCTGAGAGTGCAATCCACACCATCCTCCAGATCATTTATGAAGATATTGAACAAAACCGGCCCCAGGACTGACCCTTGGGGTACTCCACTTGATACCGGCTGCCAACTAGATATGGAGCCATTGATCACTACCCGTTGAGCCCGACAATCTAGCCAGCTTTCTACCCACCTTGTAGTGCATTCATCCAGCCCATACTTCCTTAACTTGCTGACAAGAATACTGTGGGAGACCGTGTCAAAAGCTTTGCTAAAGTCAAGAAACAATACATCCACTGCTCTCCCTTCATCCACAGAACCAGTAATCTCATCATAAAAGGCGATTAGATTAGTCAGGCATGACCTTCCCTTGGTGAATCCATGCTGGCTGTTCCTGATCACTTTCCTCTCATGCAAGTGCTTCAGGATTGATTCTTTGAGGACCTGCTCCATGATTTTTCCGGGGACTGAAGTGAGGCTGACTGGCCTGTAGTTCCCAGGATCCTCCTTCTTCCCTTTTTTAAAGATTGGCACTACATTAGCCTTTTCCAGTCATCCGGGACTTCCCCGGTTCGCCACGAGTTTTCAAAGATAATGGCCAATGGCTCTGCAATCACAGCCGCCAATTCCTTCAGCACTCTCGGATGCAACTCGTCCGGCCCCATGGACTTGTGCACGTCCAGCTTTTCTAAATAGTCCCTAACCACCTCTATCTCCACAGAGGGCTGGCCATCTCTTCCCCATTTTGTGATGCCCAGCGTAGCAGTCTGGGAGCTGACCTTGTTAGTGAAAACAGAGGCAAAAAAAGCATTGAGTACATTAGCTTTTTCCACATCCTCTGTCACTAGTTTGCCTCCCTCATTCAGTAAGGGGCCCACACATTCCTTGGCTTTCTTCTTGTTGCCAACATACCTGAAGAAACCCTTCTTGTTACTCTTGACATCTCTGGCTAGCTGCAGCTCCAGGTGCGATTTGGCCCTCCTGATTTCATTCCTACATGCCCGAGCAATATTTTTATACTCTTCCCTGGTCATATGTCCAACCTTCCACTTCTTGTAAGCTTCTTTTTTATGTTTAAGATCCGCTAAGATTTCACCATTAAGCCAAGCTGGTCGCCTGCCATATTTACTATTCTTTCGACTCATCGGGATGGTTTGTCCCTGTAACCTCAACAGGGATTCCTTGAAATACAGCCAGCTCTCCTGGACTCCTTTCCCCTTCAAGTTAGTCCCCCAGGGGATTCTGGCCATCCGTTCCCTGAGGGAGTCGAAGTCTGCTTTCCTGAAGTCCAGGGTCCGTATCGTGCTGTCCGTATCGTGCCGTATCGTTACACCAGAAGAATCCTCATCTAGCCAGCTGTGCCATCTTTATACTGTTGGAACAGAGCATGTGGGGCAAAAAAGGGGCCAGAATCTGGTCCAATCGGCCTACTAGCATAGAAGATGTAATTAGATATAGAGCAGTACGTTAATAAAAGCGCTTATGGACCTTGCTAGTTACAAGTTAAAATAAAAGCTATATGGTAAATAATTCATGCCTGAATACATCCAGGTTTCCAAGAAAATATTTACAAATAATTTAAAATGTCCTGTGACATGTCCACAGGATGAACTATCCTTGTATGCTTTAACAACTCGCATAACCCTTTACTTACTGATTTTTTGAGTGGATCTTATCCACATCTCCCAAACCTAGTTCTTTTGACTTGGTGAAGGCAAAATGTCCATTACCTACCTCTTCTCCCAGTGCTTGCAAGATACTGATGACTCCAGCTGATATGCATGCTTGTAGTACACTAAGAGCATATTCTTGTGTGGATGGGCAAATGGGTCAGGAAATCTGAACCAGCCATGTTAAATGATAAAGCCAAACACACATGAAAAATTCCATCACTGGAGAGCACGGAATAGTGCATATTTGGATTAGCTAATTTTTGTACTTTTTCATCTACCTCTTGGTTTTAGATCATTGCATCCTTACTAAGCAATACTCAGCTCTAAAACTCATTCCAGTCAATACTTCTTCATTGTTTGAGTAACACAGTAATGCCAGACTCCTTAGCAGCACCAACATGCTCAGAAGAGCCAAAAGATGTGGCGGCATTAGGCTTTCACATCAGTCATAGTTATATACATAAATGGTAGTGTGGCTGTGTTGTGGAAAATATGGAGGTTAAGTACGGTTCCTATGCTGTAGGTGGATATTTTAGTTACTTCAACCTATAGCCCCAGTGAACTAAAGTAAAGCTTTCAGAATAAGCCAAAATAAAGGAAAATATGTTGGTGATAAGTCATGCTGTATGGCTACTACAGTGTTGTGTATAATTATTCCAAAAAAACATGAAATGTAAGGTTAAATACTACATACCGTAGGCCATAAAGGACAGTTCCATCAGGATGTAGTCGAATCATTCGATTTTTCACTGTAACCCCATGAACATATGACTTCTTATCATTTTGGAAGTATGTGTCTGGCACCCAGAGCTGGTCAGCTACTCTGTTGTCCAAAGTTAGGTTCAGAGGTATTCCAGAGTAAGACAGCCTTTTGTCCCTCCAGGACTGCTGGAAATACATTGTGAGTGTGTAGTCCTGGAAGCAAAAAAGAAAAAAGGTATTTTAGTAGTTGTTTATTTTGCACAATAGTTTATATATCTATAATTTTAGTTTTGATCATTTAAGTTCAATACTTAATTATTGAATACATTTATATTAATATTAATAGCACACTTGAAAGTTTAAGGATCACTGAAACTTTGTAGCAAACGTAGATCTCTATTCAGTAACCACATCTGTGACTCTTGAACTATATATATTAATGTTGACCTTCCTTCTGATTACAGCTGGTGAACCTTGCGAAATATCCTTGCAGTTGTTGGAAAGTGGTATCAAGTGGAGTGCCCCAAAGGGTTGGTCCTGGGGCCGGTTTTGTTCAATATCTTCCTAAATGATCTGGAGGATGGTGTGGATTGCACTCTCAGCAAATTTGCGGATGATACTAAACTGGGAGGAGTGGTAGATACGCTGGAGGGGAGGGATAGGATACAGAAGGACCTAGACAAATTGGAGGATTGGGCCAAAAGAAATCTGATGAGGTTCAATAAGGATAAGTGCAGGGTCCTGCACTTAGGACGGAAGAACCCAATGCACCGCTACAGACTAGGGACCGAATGGCTAGGCAGCAGTTCTGCAGAAAAGGACCTAGGGGTGACAGTGGACGAGAAGCTGGATATGAGTCAGCAGTGTGCCCTTGTTGCCAAGAAGGCCAATGGCATTTTGGGATGTATAAGTAGGGGCATAGCGAGCAGATTGAGGGACGTGATCGTTCCCCTCTATTCGACATTGGTGAGGCCTCATCTGGAGTACTGTGTCCAGTTTTGGGCCCCACACTTCAAGAAGGATGTGGATAAATTGGAGAGAGTCCAGCGAAGGGCAACAAAAATGATTAGGGGTCTGGAACACATGAGTTATGAGGAGAGGCTGAGGGAGCTGGGATTGTTTAGCCTGCAGAAGAGAAGAATGAGGGGGGATTTGATAGCTGTTTTCAACTACCTGAAAGGGGGTTCCAAAGAGGATGGCTCTAGACTGTTCTCAATGGTAGGAGATGACAGAACGAGGAGTAATGGTCTCAAGTTACAGTGGGGGAGGTTTAGATTGGATATTAGGAAAAACTTTTTCACTAAGAGGGTAGTGAAACACTGGAATGCGTTACCTAGGGAGGTGGTAGAATCTCCTTCCTTAGAGGTTTTTAAGGTCAGGCTTGACAAAGCCCTGGCTGGGATGATTTAACTGGGAATTGGTCCTGCTTTGAGCAGGGGGTTGGACTAGATGACCTTCTGGGGTCCCTTCCAACCCTTATATTCTATGATTCTATGATTCTATGAACTACCTGAAAGGGGGTTCCAAAGAGGATGGCTCTAGACTGTTCTCAATGGTAGCAGATGACAGAACGAGGAGTAATGGTCTCAAGTTGCAGTGGGGGAGGTTTAGATTGGATATTAGGAAAAACTTTTTCACTAAGAGGGTGGTGAAACACTGGAATGCGTTACCTAGGGAGGTGGTAGAATCTCCTTCCTTAGAGGTTTTTAAGGTCAGGCTTGACAAAACCCTGGCTGGGATGATTTAACTGGGAATTGGTCCTGCTTCGAGCAGGGGCTTGGACTAGATGACCTTCAGGGGTCCCTTCCAACCCTGATATTCTATGATTCTATGATTCTATGAAACTGCAGTAGGCCTCAGTGTCTCCTCCCACATCAAATAGAGCAGTGGTTCTCAACCAGAGGTACATGGCGGTAGGCAGAGGTCTTCCAGGGGGTCCATCAACTCATCTAGATATTTGTCTAGTTTTACAACAGGCTATGTAAAAAGCACTAGTGAAGTCAGTACAAACTAAAATTTCATACAGACAATGACTTGTTTATATTTCTCTATATACTATACACTGAAATGTAAGTACAATATTTATATTCCAAATGATTTATTTTATAATTACAGTGGTAAAAATAAGAAAGTATGCAATTTTTTCATTAATAGTGTGCTGAGACACTTTTGTAGTTTTGTGTCTGATTTTGTAAGCAAGTAATTTTGAAGTGAGGTGTAACTTGGGGGTACGCAAGACAAATCAGACTCCTGAAAGGGGTGCAGTAGTCTGGAAAGGTTGAAAGCCACTGAAATAGAATACTTGGCACTCATGCGTTAGGGAGTAACATTAAGGGACTCCAGTCCATAAATCATGTGTTACATGTTTCTTGAGGTTTATCCTCAACCTGAAGAGAGCTGCTTTTGCCTGATTTCAGCCAATAGCCAAGCCCGGCACTTGCAGAGCTCTTGTTGATGTGTTCTCTCACCTTCCTCATTCCACTCTAAAACAATCCAAGAGGGCATGCTGTCCCTACACCCTTTAGCAGATAGTAAATATTTCATCTCAAAGCACAAGATCAGGTACTTTTCCCACAATGTTTATTAAGGCCACCAATCCTAATTCACCATTTATAGTCATGGATTCACTTTGGTCCTGAGACTTTTCTGGGCCTGAAAACTACAGGCTTGTCTACTCTTAAAACGCTACAAAGACACACATGTAGTGCTTCAGTGTAGATGCTACCTATGGTGATGGGAGGGATTCTCCTATTGTTGTAGATCAGGGATGAGCAAACTATGGCCCGTCGGCCAGATTCGGCCCGCCAGTCGTTTTAAGCTGGTCATCGGGCTCCCACTGGGGAGTGGGGTCTGGGGCTTTCCCCACTCCAACTGGGGAGCAGGGTCGGGGGCCACTCCACACAGCTCCTGGAAGCTGCGGCATGGCCCCACTCTGGGGCTCCAGCTGGGGGAAGGGTCAGGGGCCATTCCACGCGGCTCCTGGAAACAGCAGCATGGCCCCCTCCAGCTCCTACGCATTCCAGTGGCCCCCTCTGGCACTCCAGTGGGAACTGTAGGGGTGGTGCTGTGAACGGGACAGCGTGAAGAGCTGCTTGGCCACACCTCCGCATAGGAGCCAGAGAGGGGACATGACGCTGCTTCTGGGAGGTGCTTGAGGTAAGCACCAGCCAGAGCCTAACCCCATGCCCCAATCCCCTGCCCCAGCCCTGATCCCCCTCCCATCCTCCAAACCACTCGATCCAGGCCCAGACCACCCTCCTACGCTCCAAACTCCTCAGCCCCAGCCCCAGCCCAGCCTAACCCCGCCTCCCGCACCCCACTCCCCCACCCCAGCCCAGAGTCCCCTCCCGCACCTTGAACTCCTCATTTTTGGCCCCACCCCAGAGCCCGCACCCCCAACCAGAGCCCTTACGCTCTCCCGCACCCCAACCCCAATTTTGTGAGCATTCATGGCCCGTCATATAATTTCTATTCCCAGGTGTGGCCCTCAGGCCAAAAAGTTTGCCTACCCCTGGTGTAGGTAATCCACCTCCCCAAGGGGCAGTAGCTAGGTTGGTGGAAGAATTCTTCTATTGACCTTAGCACTGTCTACACAGGGATTTAGGTTGGCTTAACTATGGATTTTTCTTATGGACACCAGGCCAAAGCATCAGCATGAAGGGAATTCATATCTTCTATTTACTACCATATTGTGGCCCCGGGAGACCTCAGCTTGATGTGGAAAGAAAATTGTTTCAAAAGGCTTCTGAAGACCATCTGATTTCCCCCACCTCTGAATCTGCTGATTTTTAAGCGTAGTCAGTTTTTTAAACTAGATTTAAAACTAGATTTAAAAAGAAAATTCAATTTAGAAAAATAAATTAAAGTTGTCCTTTTAAAAAAATAGCCTAGACTGGGCAAACTTGTTTTTCCTTGTTTCCCACCCAATCCAACATTGTGCATTCAAAAGTTCAACTTGAACTCTGATGTTAAGTTCATATTTCTTTAGGAACAACTATGATCACACGAGAGAGCACAGAAAAAAAAATTAAGGTATAAAAATGTGTGGAAAAACAGAGCAGAAAACGAACAGTGTGAAAAATGACAAAGAGAACTGTTGAGGAGGAGAAAAGTCCAACTGGGGCGGGGTGGGGGCAGAGAAATACTTAGAATTTCAAGATCTAGGGTTTCTAATTTTTCCAGCCTATCCTTTAAGTCTAGGTAGCATTCTGATTGTTGTTTGCTCAGAATTGTGACCTTCTGGCAGTATTACAAGACTTAAGATACCAACCTTTCTGAGAATGCAAGATGAATGATTCTGTCTGCACTTATGTATGAGAAGCTAAAACTCCCAGATTTATTTTGTTTAATAAGGCCGTTGGTTCCCAGATATAGATGTCAAGCGTACACTGTGCTTCATAGCAGCATGAATAGTATTAATTCTAACTTGTATGCATGTTAAAGCTTAATTAAATTGCATTTGAGATAATAAAACCGTGACTTAGTCTGCCACTGGTCAACAAATTCTAATTAGTGATTCAGGGCTCAGTATTTCAATGATCATTTACTTGATGAAGATAGAAACATCCATTTCTTAAATGCCTACATGTTATCCATGCCTCAGTAGGAATAGAAATAACTAGAAGGCTACACTGAACTCCCACTGACTCTCTTATTACACGCTGTAACAATCAATATATAAAGGTAATTAAAACCAAGAATGCTGATCTTAACAGGATGCTTTGTTCCATATGGAGCAGGCACTTACTGGATTTATCAGTCTTCCAGGATTTTCTTTTTCAGATATCCAGTTGATGGTAATTGATCAATATCTCCTTTAGGATATGGGATATGTTTTGCTTGTGAGTTCTCAGTGTGGGGGGAGTCACAACACAAAGAGTTCTGGCGTGGGTATTTTGACTAGAATCATAGAATATCAGGGTTGGAAGGGACCTCAGGAGGTCATCTAGTCCAACCCCCTGCTCAAAGCAGGACCAGTCCCCAACTAAATCATCCCAGCCAGGGCTTTGTCAAGCCTGACCTTAAAAACTTCTAAGAAAGGAGATTCCACCACCTCCATAGGTAACGCATTCCAGTGTTTCACCACCCTCCTAGTGAAAAAGTTTTTCCTAATATCCAACCTAAACCTCCCCCACTGCAACTTGAGACCATTACTTGAGACCATTACTCCTTGTTCTGTCATCCGCTACCACTGAGAACAGTCTAAATCCATC